TTTTGTAACAGAATAGTATTTTTTTTTTTTTTTTTTACAAATAGAATTTTACTCTGTTTATTAATGTTTTTACTCAACATTTGTGTAGTTTTTGGAGGATTTATGATTTTTTTTATTTATTTCTATAAATAAATAAATAAATAAATATTTAAATAGGATTTTTACAAAAAAAAACAGCATTTTATGTTAAATAAACTTTATAAAAGACCCAGATTTCTAACTTTCATTCCTGGGCATACCATGGATAATTTTATAAGGTTGAATGTAAGATTTTTGCCTAATTTTTGGAAAAAACAGGTTAAAATTTGTAATAAGTCACTTTATCCACTAGATGGCTATAGAGCTCCACTAGATGGCTATAGAGCTCCACTAGGCCTATAAAATATTTGAATTACTGAAAGATATAGTTTCTAAAGTTGGATTCAGTTGGATTTATATCTAAATATTGTAAAATCACAATTATAACAAAAATAAAATACTTTTTGTCAAAGTTTGGCCTTTGTTTTTTGTACTGAAAAAACTAGGAACAATAGTTTGGAACAATAGAACAATAGTTGGTCTCATCTCTTTTATCTTTTTTATAGCCTTACAAATGTATTCCTGTGTGTATGTGCACCGTATTACGGAAGCCCTGAACCGCAACCAAAAAAAAAAAAAAAAAGTCAGTAAAAAAAAAATCTTCAAAAAAAAAAAAATCTATATAAAAAAAAAAAAAATCTAGCATGTCGAGATTAAAGTCGAAATGTTTCGAGATTAAAGTCGGAATTTTTCGAGATTAAAGTCGAAATGTTTCGAGATTAAAGTCGAAATATTTCGAGATTAAAGTCGAAATGTTTGAAACATTGTGCATTCATAACAGTGCGCGTCCACTGGCTCAGAGCGTGCGCGTGTGTGTGAGTCGAACTGCCATGGATAAACACAAAATAGTAGCTTTTTACTTTTATCTGGGCTTTCAACAAAATTCTACACACGTCACACGTGCTAGTGGCAGTGTTTCTGATGTGTTTTCGTGCTGGATGGAGAAATCCAGCTTTATGTATGAATGAATGAATGAATGAATAGGGCATTTATATAGCGCTTTCATATATGCCTACACTCAAAGTGCTTACAATCATATCAGAGAATCTCTCCTCAACCACAAGTGGTTATTAAATCTTAGGAAATCACAGGATCCGGCCAAATGATTGGATACAGAATGATGCACTTAAAATGTATCCAGAGCGTATTAACGGTGAAGAGGAGACCGAACAGTACTGTTGTGTTCTCGACTCAGATAGTGTTGACTAGACGATCGCGAAAACACCTCAGAAACACTGCCACTAACACGTGTGACGTGTGTAGAATTTTGTTGAAAGCCCAGATAAAAGTAAAAAGCTACTATTTTGTGTTTATCCATGGCAGTTCGACTTCACACACACACGTGCGCTCTGAGCCAGTGGACGCGCACTGTTATGAATGCACAATGTTTCGACTTTAATCTCGAAACATTTCGACTTTAATCTCGAAACATTTCGACTTTAATCTCGAAACATTTCGACTTTAATCTCGAAATGCTAGATTTTTATTTATTTTTTTACTGATTTTTTTTTTTTTACAGACTTTTTTTTTTTAGGTTGCGGTTCAGGGCTTCCGTACTAAACCCTTAAAATGTGTATATATATTCTTATATCAAGATATTTTAAACCAAACATTTCCCTTAAAATAAGCCTGAAACTCTTAAAATTTGTATATATATTCTTATATCAAGATCATTTAAACCAAACTTTTCTCTCAAAATAAGCCTGAAACCCTTAAAATGTGTATATATATATTCTTATATCAAGATATTTGTTACCAAGAGTATTTAAAACTAACCACAAATAAAACAAGAAAAAAATAGTAGATTTTACTATTTTTGCATTGGTTTCAAGATATGTATACTGCTTGAATCAAGTTAAAATATCTAAATTTACTTAATTTTTTGCTTGTTTTAAGATTTTAAGAACTTTTTTTTATCACAAGTTTATTTGTCTTGTTTCAAGAAGTCTTATCAAGTATAATTTTCTCACCCCATTGGCAGATAATTTTGCTTGTTTTTAGTTTTTTTTTTCTTAATTTAATTTTTATTTTCTTATTTTTGTATGTCGATTTTTTGCAGTGCCGTTCATGATCGCTGCAACTGTTTGCGTGCTTCAGCATCAGGGGGACGGCGGTCCCACCGAAATTTTTTCAGAGGCTCCTGGGGCATATGGTGGTAACCCCGATCGGCTTGCTTCATATGAGACCGCTTCAGCACTGGCTTCACGGTCGAGTCCAGAGATGGGCACTCACCGGGGGGCAATCACACCTGCCGTCAGACCTTCAGCCTGTGGTTAGATCCCTCGTTCCTTCGGGCAGGAGTCCCCTTGGAACAGGTATCCAGGCACGCTGTGGTATTCACAGATGCCTCTGCCACTGGCAAGGGTGCCATATACAACGGGCATGCATTATCAGGGGTGTAGACGGACCCTCATATGCATTGGCAAATCAATTGCCTCGAGTTGCTAGCAGTACACCACGCTCACCACCGTCTAAAAAAAAGGCCGCTGCAGGGCAGGGACATGCTGGTCTGTACGGACTCCCGTCGCATGTCGCAACTCGCCCGCCATCTCCTCCTCTGGAGTCAGAAGTATCTGAGGTCGCTTCGAGCCATGTATGTCCCCGGTGTGCTCAACCGTGTGGCCGACAAGCTATCACGAGCTGTGCTCCCGGGAGAATGCCGACTTCACCTCCAGGTGGTTCAACCGATCAGGAGAGAGTTCGGGGAGGCTCACACTGGAAAAAATGCCCCTCCAAAAATAAGCAAAAAAAAATTAATACAAGATATTTTTGCTTGTAATAAGCAAAAAAATCTGCCAATGGAACAAGTGAAAATTCTCTTGGTAAGATTTCTTGAAATAAGACATTATATTTAAGCCTTAAAAGATATGAGTGATCTTGAAATTAGCAGGGAAAACTCATTTTTAGCTATATTTTACTAGTATTGTGATGTTTTGTGTCTCATAATAAGCTTGTCATGCTCAAAAATAGCATTTTCCCCTCAAAAGTAGCATTTTCTTTTGTCATCCTCTTTGTTTCAAGTGTATTTAACTAATTTTTAGTTCTATAATTGTTACACTCTTCTAGATATAAGTCACCACCAACTTGAAATAAGATTGGAAACTGGCATTTTGAGACAAAATGCCTTGAAGTTAGCATTCCTGACTCATATTAGGCAGTCCTCTTTTGCCATAATAAGCCATAATTTACCATACTGTAATCATCTCAAGTGTATACCTTCTTGTAAGCTCAACAAAAGTGACATGGTTCTAGATTCAAGACATTTTACCTACTAGATTTAAGACATTAACTACTGTTTACTAGACAGAAAAAGTGAAAAATAGACTTACATTTAACTTTTTTTATTTAATTTTTTAAACCGCAAAAATTCCCAGAGGACTGCACAAAACGGTAAAAGTATTTATGGAGCTGCAATATAAAAACATAGTAGAATATTTTATAGATTATAAATGAAAGATCTCTTTACCCTACTCCCACACCTAAACATACCGATTTTATAGACAATATTAAAGGGATAGTTCACTTTGAAATTAATTTTTGATGTTTTAGCTTACCTCAAGGGCATCCAAGATGTAGGTGTCTTCTTTTCCACAGTATTTTCAATTTTGACATTTTTCGGTCAAACCGTTGTTGTCTGTCAGTCATATAATGCAGGTATGGGGGTCCACGTCAAAGAGCATGCACAGAGAAGTCCAAATTAAACATGATTTAATGACTCGTAAATGTAAGTACACATTGATGGCCTAAGACACGAAACGAGCGTTTTGTGTGAGAAAACAAACAGTATTTATATAGTTTTTACCTCTTGTTCACAGCCATGTCAAACTGATCTGAATCAGATGTCAAACTGAACCGAACCGTGTCCAACATTACGCCAGAAGTGATCTCTCGCGCGTCAGCAACATCTGATTCAGATCAGTTCGACATGGCTGTTTACAAGAGGTAAAAACTATATAAATACTGTTCGTTTTCCCACCCCCTCCGCTCATTTCGTGTCTTTGGCCATCAGTGTGTACTTACATTCAAGAGTCATTAAATCATGTTTAATTTTGACTTCTCTGTGCATGCTCTTTGAGGTGGACCCCCTAAACCTGCATTATATGACTGACAGACAACACAGGTTCGACCAAAAAATGTCAAAGTTGAAAATACTGTGGAAACAAAGACACCTACATCTTGGATGCCCTTGAGGTAAGCGAAAACATATCAAAAATTAATTTCAAAGTGAACAATCCCTTAAAAAGGATAAAACGTAATGAACATAATGTGTAGGGCAATGGCAGTTTTATTAACAATAAAGCATTAAAACATAGTTTGAGCCACTAATCCTACCCTAACCCATTTCTTAAAACTATGTAACTAACGTTACAATTATAAATAAAAACAACAAACATAACGTTACATGTTTAAATCGCAATAATTTATTTAGTGAGAAAATGTCAAAACCGGTACCAAATAAATATCTTTCTTCTTGTTCAGCAGAAGAAAAAAAATCATAAAAAAACAACAACATATTATTGCAAATGAACAAAGTTGAATCAAATATGTTTCTAGAACAGTGATTAAAATTGGCTCGAATATGTTTTAGTATGTGACATGAACTCTGGTGTTGATGCACTCTAAAAACATTTAATATGATTTACTAACCTTTTTAAACTTAGAATATTGATTAAATTTTTAAGCAGTGAAAGCAATTACTTACACTGTATTAACTGAGTAAATGTTAGTAAAACAAATTAAATAGATCTGAGTAACTGCATTTGGTACATTAACAAATAAACTTGAGTAGAAATAATTGGGGGGAAACATTTAAAAACAAATAATTATGAGTAATATAAACTGTGTTTATATGGCAGTAATATTAACTTTTTTTTATTTCCTCTAAACCTTTGTAAAATATTCCATACAACCACCAGCATAACTACATGACACGGCCTTTATTGTCAATTAATATCCTAACATTACAGCAAACATATTTTATTCTATTTTTAACACATAAGTTATACAATATTGACTACATCTAAACTCATGTAAGAAACATTTTCGATGTAAAAATTAAACATTTAGGCCTAAACATTAAAGTAATTCAAGTGTAATAACCGGTCTGTTATCCAGTATTCACCGGGTCAGCGCTGGTTCCCATGCCGGAGATGGACTCGCCTCTGCGGGGAAACTTCTAAATTTATACCGCCGTCCTGCGTCACTCACAGCCGAAAAATGCTGCGACGCGACTGACTCCATAACCTGCCAATAAACAACCAGTGCACAGTTCTGAGGACATTTTATCATCCAAATTAGTTATATCCATTATCTTTAAGAATATAGTCGTGTGTTTTTTTTATGCAAGGCCTTACAATCACGCGAAAAGGCAGGCGCAAGTCGACACTCGTTTAAGGTGAGTAACATTGCGTCTCTGTATGTTCTTTTTTCATTAAATAAAATTATTTAAAGCATATTAATGATTATACAGATAAAATAAAACAAACAAACCTTAATTTCAGGTGGAAATGCTCCAATTCTGCGCCGATGAGAAGAGAAGAGGAGAAGAGATCTGTTCTTTTCTGGACTGGGAGAGTTCAAACAGCGCGCAACCGCAAGTTCAAACAGCGCTCACTCAAGTTCAACCGTTGAGTTGTCGTCACGTCAGAGGGTGGGGAGGGGTGCGTTGTTGTAATCATAGACAGTAAAATACATTTTAATTGAGTAAACTTAATTAATTTCTTATGCGTGTTAAATAATAATATTAATTTTTATTTTAGAAATATTTGTGGTTCTTGAGACAGATCAGTTTAATCCAGTCTCAAATATTGTGATGGAAATTTCACAAATATTAGCTAAGTGTATTTTAAATTAATAATTGGTTAGTCAAAAACTAAATTAGCCTATTTTAGTGAAAAACTTAAATATAACTGTAAATTTCAGACAAAATTAATTGTTGGAGTTTTAGTCATTTATTTCGGTATGTTCGACTCAAACTATTGAGTAAATTATATTCAGTTTAGTTAATAAAGACTTCAACACTGCAACATTTAGGAAAGTTTTTTGTTTGTAGGTTGTACCATAGTAGTACTGTGATAAAGTTTAGAGAAATTGTCACAAATGAAAATGAAATCGATGCAGGATATAAAATGAAAACTATTGATATGTGAAATATGGAACTGCATCTTGTAGAACACATTCTAATAAAAATAATTTTGTAATTAAAATGTGCGCTTGCGTGTGTGTAGTTTAAATGTTGTGTTTTTAATCTAAGACAGATTATACAGTATGTAACCATGACTGATACAGGCATAGGCCCCTCGACTCAGTGCAGTAAATAAATCAATCAGTAGGCTGTACTTCCCTCATGCTGGTTCTTATCTTGTCCTCTGTTTATACACGTCCATGCTGGAAATTCATATTAAATTTGCATTTTTTTGTTTTTACTTCATGAAAATCTATATTGCTTTAGTTGTTTGTAGGACACATATTACATAATATGATTAAAAATACATTAATATTATGCAATTTATATATGTGGTTTTTGCATATGTCCCTTACAATATTCTGTTGGAACATATACAAATCACAGGAGTTTTTAGCAAACCTTTTCCATATGGGAAGGTTTTAAAGTATATTATTGTTAAACAAAGCGAGTTTGCAGCAAAAGGCACGAACAGAACGAAATGTTATTATTTATGAGTACCGTTAAACTATTAATAAATGAGACTGAAAATTTAATTGATAAGACAATTGAATGCAATAGAGTCAAAACCACGATTTTAATATGCATAAGTTAAATAGGAATACATACAAATTTGTATGTTGGTAAAGTTGTTTATACGTAAATAAATTACGTTTTTTGTTTGTTTGTTTTTTTTGCTGTCATGTCATTGTGAGTTGTTGTGAGTTGGGCATGTTGGCCTGCAGTTTTCAATGAAGCAGATTTGTTTCAATTCAAGTTAAGTCTGTTTCTTGAAACAAGACGATTCATCTTTTACAAATAACACAGCAGCTTAAAAAACTGTCAAAATGTCAAAAAAGCTTGTTTCATCTGAGATATGACTCAAAACAAGATATTTTTAAGACAGTTTCACTTAACAAGATATTCAAGATGCACTGTCTAAAAACAAGCTCCTGTATCTTACTTAAATCTTGGTCTTTAGGTAATTTTGTCTTATATTAAGTGAGCTGAGATATTTTGACTAGAAATTAGAAAAATATACTTGGCAAGATTTTGAGTTTTTGCAGTGCAGGTAGACCTATTTGCTTCCTCCCACTGCCAGCTGTTTTACTACCTGACCAAGGGAACACTCGGCACGGACGCACTGGCATACACCTGGCCCCAGGGCCTTCGCAAATATGCGTTTCCCCCAAGCTGCAACCTCCCCGTCTCTCTCTTGAAGCTAACACGGAAGTGAATTAAACTGCAATTTATCGAGAGGCCGCTTGAGGCAGGCTGCAGAAGCGAGTCAAATCTGTATCTCCCCCATGTTAAAATGCCCAACTTTACAGCAGAAAAAAAACATGTTTACAGCCTGGAGCAAAAAGTGGCTTTGGTCTATAGAGCTCATTTCCCCCTTCATGACAACTGTGAGGGGGGTGATTTTTTTTACAACTCATCTGTTTAAATTATATTTAAGCCTTGGAAAGTTCTGCATAAATAAGTGTGTGGCCACTTGAGTGACAGGTGGATTCTTGCCGCCACTTTCACTGATAGTCGTTTGTCTGCTGTCTGTTAGCGTCACCCTCAGCTGTGTTTGTGCTTTTCCGGGATTATTTCATTCAATTTAATACATGTATTATACCTTCGCCTGTGCACACCGTTGGATTCCATCGTGTTGAGTATGGAGAGAACAATCAGCGCTGTGGATGCACGGAGATGCACACCCTTGAATGAGCGCGGATTTCTAGTTCATTTACTTGAAGTTCTGAGGTAATATCTTTGGTTTGACCCATCTGAAAAACTGAGAGGCAGCCAAAATCAGATTGTAAAATGGACTGAATTAACGCTCTTTACGAACTTGACATGAGATGCCGACTGACGTGTGCTTGCCTTGAATCACTGTCACATGCACAAGCTTAGAGCAATATTGTAAGTAACTAATACATTTTTAACTAGCAGAATAATAATGCATCACGATGCACATAGTTGACTGCTTGTATGTTGTGAGAAATGTGTGATCTGTGTATGTACTTGTATACATGCTCTTAACTAATTGCCCCTTGTGCGATTAATAAAGTTGATAAAAAAGTAACGTAAATAGTCTCACATTTATTTACGTCTTAACTATTATAATATTTCGAAGGGCAAAACATGAACTTTAACCATTGGCTTTACTTTTTCAATCAGCTGTCAATTCAGCAGCAGTAGCATAGCATTAGCACCTCAGCTCCACCCGCGTCCCGCCTCTTTGCCCATTTTAATTTATCCGGAAGTGACGAGAGGTGACGCACTGCCAAGATGGCGACGGCCGGCCCCGCCCACCTTAGGCTTCAAAAACGCTCTTCAGAAACCTATGGGTGACGTCACGGACACTACGTCCATATTTTTTTTACAGTCTATGGTTTCCCCCAGTGAGCCTTCAAAGTCCACTTAGACCTGGTTCCCAAAACTCATGCTCCTTGAGACAGTCCCTCCCTGGCCCATTCCTCTGAGGAAGAATCTTCTCCCTATAGCACCCGCGTCCACACCTCTGGAAACTCCATGTCTGGTCTCTGGACGGGACGCGGAGGTTCTAGGTGACTTACCCCCAGAGATACTTAACACCATCACTTCAGCACGGGCGCCGTCCACGAGACGTGTCTGCACCCTGAAGTGGAACCTGTTCGTCGAGTGGTGTTCTTCTCGCCGAGAAGACCCCCGAAGATGTTCGATAGGGTCCGTGCTTTCCTTCTTGCAGCAAGGTTTGGAGTGAAGACTGTCTCCCTCCACCCTCAAAGTCCATGCTGCTACTATTTCCGCTCATCACAACCACATCGATGGCAAAACAGTTGGAAAGCACAACTTGTTTGTCAGGTTTATTGGGGGGTGAGACGGGGGGTTAAATCCCCATCGACCCCCCCTCCATACCCTCTTGGGATCTTACCCTGGTGCTCCGAGCACTTCAGGACGTTCCCTTTGAGCCTTTGCAATAAGTAGACTTAAAGCTTCTTTCTATGAAGACTTGCATTGGCCTCAAGAGGGTAAGACCTGCACACATTTTCGGTCGACGAATTGTGCCTAGAGTTCGGGCCGGTTGACAGCCACGTGGTATTAAGACCCTGGCCTGGCTATGTGCCCAAGGTTCCTACCATTCCCTTTAGAGACCAGGTAGTAAACCTGGAAGTCCTGCCCTTGGAGGAGGCAGACCCAGCATTGGCTTTGCTCTGTCCCGTTTGCGCCCTGTGTATGTACGTGGACAGAACTCAAAGCATCAAGACCTCAGACCAGCTCTTTGTCTGTTACGGAGGCCAGCAGAAGGGAAAGGCTGTCTCCCAGCTCTGTCAGCTTGCTGCAACCTACTGTGCAACCTTATTGCTCCAGAGTGAAAAACCTGTCGAGTCCTCCAACACCCCTCGGTCCGGACATGGTGCAGCGTCCGGAGCCAGGCCCCTGTCCGCTGAATCCTTGACAGCCGGACTCGGGCTGGGTTCCATATGTGCGACCCTTCGGGGATCCCATATGTGTATATGTTCCACGGCTGCTCCTAAGTCAGGAGCCTGTCTTTCCCTGGGGCTAAGTCACCCATTATATCATATGCAATACAGCGTTCGGGTTAGTCCATATGTATTTCCACATAACTCTCTAAAGAAGGTGGGTTCCGCAGCGTTGCCTTCCCTCTAAAAAAGGGCACGCTTTCCCAGTGTTATCCAAGTCTCACTGTATGGGTTATAAGGGAACAACAGTGTCAGACACTCTCTGTGGAAACCTCCTCCTATCGTCCTTCCAGGCAAGAAGGTGCAGAGACTTGCATGGGGGGCTGGATGGGGTGCAGCGACTGTGGCGCTTTGGTAGGGATTCCTATTGGTCAGTCTGACCTACGTTGTAGTGACTGACCGATAGGGACCGTCTCGGTTACATATGGTAACCCTCGTTCCCTGAGGGAGGGAATGGAGACGTAGGTCCCTTCGCCACATCTGCTGCTGCCTGCCTAACACAGTCTCATCCCAAAAAGTCATATAACTGACGTCTTGGGACGTCTTTTGACCATACGTCAATATCCGCCTTTTTAGGGCCCCCTTAAATGTCGGTAGATGGCGATCCCGGGCCGTCATACAACTGACGCTTTACCTTTAACGTCAGTTAGGTGACGGGTTAGGTTTAGGATTAGGTTTAGGTCTGGGGTAGAGTTAGGATCCCATAACCTCATCTACCGACGTTTAAGGGGGCCCTAAAAAGGCGAATATTGACGTATGGTCAAAAGACATCCCAAAACGTCAGTTATATGACGTCTTGGGATGAGACCGGGTTGGCCTGCCAGGGGGCCAGCTTCCTAAGTTTGGCTCCTCAGCAAAAAACTGAAGGGCAGACACACAGCCGCTCATTATATACCCGCACTGACGAGGACGTGCAGCCGTTGCAAATGATTGCACGCCATTGTGCATTGGCTTGTTTTAGATTCACTTAAAGTAAATTGGCTCTCTAGCGAGATTCCTATTGGTCAGTCTGACCTACGTCTCCGTTCCCTCCCTCAGGGAACGAGGGTTACCATATGTAACCGAGACAACCGAGAAGTGTACCTTGCTTAAATTTGATGTATAATTATACTGTAT